TTCAATAAGGAACTTGGTCAAGCATTTATACCAAGCTCTAGGAGCTTGTTAAGACCATAAAGAGCTTTGTGAAGTTTGTAAACATGATTGGGTTTCTTAGGATTGACAAAGCCGGAAGGTTGTTTAACATAAACTTCCTCCTCTATTTCACCATTTAGAAAAGCACTTTTAATGTCCATTTGGTACAAGGTGATATCATGGTGATTAGCATAGGCATGTAAGATGCGAATGGACTCAAGTCTAGCAACAGGGGCGTAAGTCTCACCATAGTCCATACCTTCGACTTGTGTGTAGCCTTGGGCGACGAGACGTGCTTTGTTGCGAACTACTTGTCCATCTTCATCTTGCTTGTTGCGAAACACCCATTTTTTACCGATGATGTTGTGGTTGTTGTCAGGCTTCTCAACCAATGTCCAAACTTGGTTCCTCTCAAAGTTGTGTAGCTCTTCATGCATAGCATTTATCCAATCCAGATCTTCCAATGCTTCTTCGACCTTCATAGGTTCAATGCTAGATATGAAAGAATAGTTTTCACAAAAGTTAGCTAGACGAGTTTTAGACCGAGTGATTCTCCCGGTTTGAATATCATTGTAGATTTGCTCGACGGGATGGTCTTTAGCAATTCTTGCTCGAACTCGTGAAAGCTTTTGCTTGGATCTTCATTGAACATCTTCTTCATCTTGTTCTTCTTCTTGGCCTTCTTCATTGTTGGCGTTGTCGTTCTCTTGTCGTGGTGGAGAAGGAGGTTGTTGACGTTCATCTTGATGCACTTCCTCGTTTTCTTCATCTTGGTGTGTCCCACTTGTGGATGCTTCCGTATCAACTCTTGGTTCACCTTGTCGTGAAGTAGAAGCTTCCACTTGGACAGACGAGATACTCTCCTTCACCTCCGTTGGACGGACCTTGCCAATAGACAAGTCTTGGATTGCTTCCGAAGGATCTTTGTCTCCTACATCAACTAGCAATTGCTCTACTTGCGAGCCGTTAGATTCATCGAACTTCACATCTACCGTCTCTTCAACCTTTCGGGTGAAAATGTTGTAGACACGATAAGTGTGAGAGTTTGAGCCATAACCTAGTAGGAAACCTTCATGAGACTTAGGAGCAAATTTTGAATGACGATGCTTATCAAGAATGTAGCACTTTGAGCCGAATACTCGAAAGTATCCAACTTGGGGTTTGTTACCGGTGAGTAGCTCATATGCCGTCTTGCCAAGTAGCTTGCGAAGATACAAGCGATTTATTGCATGACAAGCTGTCTTAACCCCTTCTGCCCAAAAGTGCTTCGGCGTCTTGTACTCATCAAGCATCGTTCTCACCATTTCGATGAGCGTCCGCTTCTTCCTCTCAACAACTCCATTTTGTTGAGGTATGTATGTAGCCGAGAACTCGTGTGAAATCCCTTCTTCGTCAAGAAAGGTGTCCACATTTGCGTTCTTGAACTCCATTCCATTGTCGCTGCGAACCTTCTTGATCTTCACTTCAAATTGGTTTTGGGCCTTCCTAGCGAAGTTTTTGAAGATCTTTTGGACCTACGATTTATCATCGAGAAAGAACACCCACGTAAATCTGGAAAAATCATCAACTATAACTAGACCAAAAGAATTTCCACCGAGACTCTTGTAAGAGTTGGGACCAAAGAGATCCATGTGAAGTAGCTCGAGTGGCCTCTTCGTGGTCATGATGTTCTTCACGGGATGCCTTCCTCCAACCTGTTTACCTGCTTGACAAGCACTGCAAAGTCTATCCTTATCAAATATGACATCATTAACTCCAAGGATATGATTTCCCTTAATAAGCTTGTCAAGGTTTCGCATACCAACATGACCTAATCGTCTATGCCATAACCAGCCTTTTGAGGATTTAGCAATGAAGCAAGTTTTAGGTTGAGCCTTTTTAGAGAAATCAACAATGTATAGATCACCTCTACGTATGCCGGTAAAGACCATTTTATGATTGTCTCGACGAAACACTTGGCAATCTACTTCAGTAAATAGGACATTGAAACTGAAATCAGCAAGTCTAGATACTGAAAGTAAGTTGTACCCAAGAGATTCAACGAGCATGACATTTTGTATGGAGCTATCATGTGAGATGGCCACCTTACCGAGGCCAACCACCTTACCCTTTGAGTTGTCACCGAAAGTGACATACTTTCGAGGACTATCATTATCAGCAAGCTCACGAAACATGTCTTTCTCTCCGGTCATGTGATCGATACATCCACGATCAAGAACCCATTCCTTTCCTCCTGACATATATCCCCGAAGATCTGCCATAAGACCAAAATGTCCCATTGCATCATCAAGATCGAAGTCACTATCATCATCCTCATCATAGTATCCATGTTCAACATCGTCATGTGGTGGATCAAATCCTAGAGAGGGTGATTCATTAGAATGAGTTTGACAATAATCTTGTCTATGAATTATTATAGCTTCAGAAATAATGTCACTAATAATACCAACATTTCCTTTGGCACGCATAAGGTTTGTAAGCTCAAATAGATGATCACCAAACATAGGATCACTAGTATTCATTTTACTCAAAGCAATAGACTTATGGAGAATTTCATCTAGATTTTTCAATGAATAATCTGGAAATCGTTCCTCAAGAAATTTCCATATGGTGTAGGCACACTCAAGAGTAGGCAGTTTTATAATCAAGTTTCTAGGCAAGCCTCTAGTGATAAGATTAACAGTTCTAACATTCCTAATCATGTCAATAGACTCATCAAGGGTAGGATGCATAGGATCAACACAAGGTGCACAAGGACTAGCAATGTACTTGTTCAAATGATATTGATTGAAAATAACAAGCATCTCATTTTTTCACTCATGAAAATACTCTCCATCAAGAATAGGCACTCTATGTCTAAGACTCCCCAAAGTAGACTCATCCATCTTCCTCCAATGGTGATTAAACCAAGGCAATGGAGACCAATGCTCTGATACCACTTGTAGGACCTTGAGAAGATGTGTCTAGAGAAAAGCAAGCATGCAAAGAGTATATGAGCAGCGGAAAGTAAAGCATGCAACTTGCAAGAATGTAAAGGGAAGGGTTTGGAGAATTCAAACGCAATTGGAGACACGGATGTTTTTGGCGTGGTTCCGGTAGGTGGTGCTATCGTACATCCACGTTGATGGAGACTTCAACCCACGAAGGATAACGGTTGCGCGAGTCCATGGAGGGCTCCACCCACGAAGGGTCCACGAAGAAGCAACCTTGTCTATCCCACCATGGTCGTCGCCCACGAAGGACTTGCCTCACTAGTGGTAGATCTTCACGAAGTAGGCGATCTCCTTGCCCTTACAAACTCCTTGGTTCAACTCCACAATCTTTGTCGGAGGCTCCCAAGTGACACCTAGCCAATCTAGGAGACACCACTCTCCAAGAAGTAACAAATGGTGCATTGATGATGAACTCCTTGCTCTTGTGCTTCAAATGATAGTCTCCCCAACACTCAACTCTCTCTCATAGGATTTGGATCTGGTGGAAAGAGGGTTTGAGTGGAAAGCAACTTGGGGAAGGCTAGAGATCAAGATTCATATGGTAGGAATGGAATATCTTGGCCTCAACACATGAGTAGGTAGTTCTCTCTCAGAAATAGGATGCTGGAAGTGTAGGTTCGTTCTGATGTCTCTCTCCACGAATGAAGAGAAGGTGGAGGGGTATATATAGCCTCCACACAAAATCTAACCGTTACACACAATCTACCAAACTCGGTGGGACCGAATCGTTAAACTCGGTCAGACCGATTTAGCAAATAATGTGACCGTTAGGGTTTTCGGTGGGACCAAAATGCAACTCGGTAGGACCGATATGGTTAGGGTTAGGGCATAACGTAATCTCGGTGAGACAGATTACACAAACTCGGTAGGACCGATTTTGGTAATTAGCTAACCAGAGAGTTGGTCAGGCAAACTCGATTGAACCAATTATCAAACTCGGTGGGACCGATTTTGATAAGAAGTTAACCAGAGAGTTTGCATTGTAATCTCGGTAGTACCGATTGCTCAAACTCGGTGAGACCGATTTTGATAATGGACATGCACAGAGAGATTACAATCCCATCTCGGTGAGACCGAGATCCCTATCGGTGAGACCGATTTGCTTAGGGTTTGTGGCTGTGGCTAAGACATCAAAACTCGGTGGCGCCGGATAGAAAGAATCAGTGGGGCCGAGTTTGACTTTAGGTTTAGGACATATGTGTGGAAGTGGGAAAGTAGTTGAGGGTATTTGGAGCATATCACTAAGCACTTGAAGCAAGAGGCTCATTAAGCAACACCTCATCTCTCCTTGATAGTATTGGCTTTTCCTATAGACTCAATGTGATCTTGGATCACTGAAATGTAAAATGAAGAGTCTTGAGCTTGAAGCTTGAGCCAATCCTTTGTCCTTAGCATCTTGAAGGAGTTCCCACATCCTTTAGTCCATGCCACTCCATTGTTGAACTTATCTGAAACATACTAGATAAAAGTGTTAGTCCAACAAGAGATATGTTGACATTAATTACCAAAACCACCTAGGGAGCACTTGTGCTTTCAAGTTTCCTAGCCATAGACATGAGTTGGCATTTGATTAACGGGATCACATCATTAGGAGAATGATGTGATTGACTTGACCCATTCCGTTAGCTTAGTACTTGATCAAAAAAAGTCCATTTTACTCCCCCGAACAAAGTGGGTGGTTCACTTTACCCCCTCATCTATTTTTTGGCTCCTTCTAGACGTCAAACAAAACCAAACCGGACAAAACACCCCCAGCTGGTTTGTCTCCATTCGATGCTGATGTGGCACAGTCCAATGGCAGTTTTGACCAGGGTGGGGCCTACTTGTCAGGTTGGACTGTTATAGAGCTGCCGTTCCTATTGCTAACTGGATCAGACAGTTCCCGTGGCAGGTTGTACGCGTCCTGGCCGAGGCGGAGGCGTGCGCTGAAGTGGAGCGTCTCGCGAACTGTGTGAGCAGCGGGCAGAGGATGTCACCCTAGACGCAGAGTCAGCGCAGGGCCGCGGTGTCCACAGGCGAGTCATTGACGCGGAGGTCAGTAGGAGGGGAGAAGCTGGGCTCAAGGCGGCTGGAGAGGATCTTGAGCAGCGTAGACTTGCCGGCACCACTGGGTCCGATGATGGCAAGCAGCTCGCCGGGGCGCGCGCGGCAGCTGACGTTGCGGAGCACTAGGCGGCACCGGCTGTTGTGGCTCACCGGCAGAGGTGCGAGCGCAGCAGGGTCGCCGGTGGCGTCGAGGAGGAGGTCGTTGGGCCTGCTCCATATCTTGAGCGGGTGAGGCCGGACGGAGACAGTGATGCCCGCGGCCTCCACCTCGCACCTGCTGCTTTCTACTCCTCCTCCGCTCTTCATTGATTGGCTCGCTAGCTCGTCGTCTTCCTGGATGGTTGCTAGTAAAGGTGGTGCTTCACCTGTCGGATGCATGGAAGACGATGAGCTTCGTGGTTGCTAGCTTTATGGTTTGTGCTCGCTGAAGCTCGGGTGAAGCTTGGATGATTGGGCTTGGCTGAGGTTAGTTTGGCTTGCTCGGTGGGCGTACGTGGGCATGGGAGTGTGAGCTTGGAGTGGAGTGGCACATGATGATACCATGTACATGCTGGTCTTCTTGGAAGGTGGCGGGCGCCACTGGGGCTGACGATGGTGAGCAGAGAGGTCCTTGACCCTGGCGTCCGCGATGCGGCTCAGGGCGAGGTCATCGACGAGTGCGTCGACCGCGGCGGGGTCGTACGCGTCCGAACCAAGGCGGCCGAAGGCGTGCGCTGAAGTGGAGCGTCTTGCGCACGGTGAGGAGCGGGAAGAGTTCGTCGCGCTGGGTGACGTAGCCGCAAAGGCGGCGCAGGGCCGCGGTGTCGACAGGGGAGCCATTGACACGGAGGACAGTAGGAGGGGTGGAGCTCGGCTTGAGACGGCCGGAGAGGATCTCGAGCAGCATGGACTTGCTGTCTTCGCTGGGCCCGACGATGGCGACCAGGAGCAGCTCACCGGGGCGGGCGTGGCAGATGACGTTGCGGAGAACGAGGCGGCACCGGCTGCTTCCGCTCACTGGCGGAGGGGCATGTGCAGCAGGGCCGCCGGCGGCATCAACGAGAAAACGTGAACGTCGGCTATTTGGCATGGTCATCAGCTCCTCGAAGCAGCCCTGCTCCTCGTCCTAGTCCGTGTCAGCCTTGCTGCACCCCTGTACTGTCGTGCTCCTGCTCGGCTGCTCCTACGCGCTGTACCGCTCTTGTACGCCACCGCGCTACGCATTGGCATGCTCGTCCCCGCAGGTTGCAGCGTTGCACCGCCCCTGGCTAGCGCACCTGCACACAACTGGTCTTCCCTAGTCGCAACGGCAGCTCTATAACAGTCCAACCTGACACGTAGGCCCCATTCTAGTCAAAATCGCCGTTGACTGTGCCATATCAGCATGGAATGGAGACAAACCAGCCCAGGGGGTGTTTTGTCCGGTTTGGTTTTGTTTGGGGTCTAGGAGCCAAAAAATAGATCAGGGGGTAAAGTGAACCACTCACTTTGTTCAGGGGAGTAAAATGGACTTTTTTCTACTTGATCGTTTAGTATGTTGCTATTGCTTTCTTCATGACTTATACATGTTCCTATGACTGAGATTATGCAACTCCTGTTTACCGGAGGAACACTTTGTGTGCTATCAAACTTCACAACGTAACTGGGTGATTATAAAGGTTCTCTACAGGTGTCTCCGAAGGTACTTGTTGAGTTGGCATATTTCGAGATTAGGATTTATCACTCCGATTGTCGGAGAGGTATCTCTAGGCCCTCTCGGTAATGCACATCACTATAAGCCTTGCAAGCAATGTAACTAATGAGTTAGTTATGGGATGATGCATTACATAACGAGTAAACAGACTTGCCGATAACGAGATTGAACTAGGTATTCCAACAATCGAAACTCGGGCAACTAACATACCGATGACAAAGGGAACAACGTATGTTGTTATGCGGTTTGACCGATAAAGATCTTCGTAGAATCTGTGGGAGCAAATATGAGCATCCAGGTTCCGCTATTGGTTATTGACCGGAGACGTGTCTCGGTCATGTCTACATAGTTCTCGAACCCGTAGGGTCCGCACGCTTAACGTTCGGTGACGATTTATATTATGAGTTATGTGTTTTGATGTACCGAAGGTAGTTAGGAGTCCCAGATGAGATTGGGGACATGATGAGGAGTCTCGAAATGGTCGAGACGTAAAGATTGATATGTTGGATGACTATATTCGGACATCGGAAAGGTTCCGAGTGATTCGGGTATTTATCGGAGTACCGGAGAGTTGCGGGAATTCGCTGGGGAGAAGTATTGGGCCTTATTGGGCCATACGGGAATAGAGGAGAGATGCCAAAAGGAAGGAGGCATGCGCCCCCCTATGGTCCGAATTGGAGAAGGGGTGCAGCCCCCTTTTCCTTCTCCCTCTCCCCCTCTTTCCTTCTCTCCTACTCCAACAAGGAAAGGAGGAGTCCTACTCCCGGTGGGAGTAGGACTCCCCCCTTGGTGCGCCCTCCTCCTTGGTCGGCCGCCTCCCCCCTTGCTCCTTTATATACGAGGGCAAGGGGCACCCCAAGACACAACAATTGATCATTGGTCTCTTAGCCATGTGCGGTGCCCCCCTCCACCATATTCCACCTTGGTAATATCGTAGCGGGCGCTTAGGCGAAGCCCTGCGTCGGTAGCATCATCAACACCGTCATCACGCCGTCGTGCTGACGGAACTCTCCGGCAAAGCTCTGCTGGATTGGAGTTCGTGGGACGTCATCGAGCTGAACGTCTGCTGAACTCGGAGGTGCCATACGTTCAGTACTTGATCGGTCGGATCGTGAAGACGTACGACTACATCAACCGCATTGTGCTAACGCTTCCGTTTTCGGTCTACGAGGGTACGTGGACAACACTCTCCCCTCTCGTTGCTATGCAACACCATGATCTTGCGTGTGCGTAGGAATTTTTTTGAAATTACTACGTTCCCCAACATGAACAAGTGTCCTGGAAGAGGAGAACCTCATGGAAGAAGAAGTGGATGAAAGCCTACCTCCCACTCCCCGGAGTAAAATTTTGCACACACTCAGTTAGTTCTTCGATGAAGAAACTCTCAAGAAGAGCATAAAGTCTCTGAATACATTAGAACTGCTAGATTTTAAATACATGTGCGTATATGCTATGTTCTATGTATGAAGTTTCTTGTAGATGTTGCCAGTCTCCAAAACATCTTGACTTCCAATGCACAAAAACCTATAGTGAGGAGGTAGCACACTACAATAGTAGTAAGAATGCCACAGAGGAAATCATGCGGTATGTGTTAAGCACAAGTGTTGCTAAGATCGAAGTTGTCCAAGATCACAGGAAAGATGAAATTCTTGATTGGATATATTATGTGGTGGATAACATCAATTATTATTATAGAAAATAACTTTTCGATAAAAAAGATACTAATGTGCACGAACAAGAGTATGATGATGACTCTAGTTTGGATGAACTTGAAGCTAATGAACTTGACTTGCAGGGTTGTCACCCTCTGGTCGAGACGTCCAATGTTAGCAATGGTGATGAACTAGAGGAGGAAAATACTTCTGATTTACCTGTGCTAACGTCCAACTATGCTTCGTTGGATGATACATTTCCAACGTATCTATAATTTTTTATTGTTCCATTCTATTATATTATCTATTTTGGATGTTTAATGGGCTTTAATATGCTCTTTTATATTATTTTTGGGACTAACCTATTAACTGGAGGCCCAGTGCCAGTTTCTATTTTTTTTGCCTATTTTAGAGTTTTGCAGAAAAGGAGTACCAAACGGAGTCCAAACGGAATGAAACCTTCGCGATGATATTTCTTGGACCGAAAGCAAACCAGAAGAATCGGAGTTGAAGTCAGAGACACCACGAGGCATCCACGAGGCAGGAGGGCGCACCCAGGGGGTAGGCACGCCCCCACCATCGTGGGCCCCTCGTAGCTCCACCGATGTACTTCTTTCGCCTATATATGCTCATACCCTAAAAACACCAGGGGAGCCATGAAACCACTTTTCCACCACCGCAACCTTCTGTACCCGTGAGATCCCATCTTGGGGCCTTTTCCGTGATCTGCCGGAGGGGGAATCGTTCACGGAGGGCTTCTACATCAACACCATTGCCTCTCCGATGAAGCATGAGTAGTTTACTACAGACCTTCGGGTCCATAGTTATTAGCTAGATGGCTTCTTCTCTCTCTTTGATTCTCAATACAAAGTTCTCCTTGATTTTCTTGGATATCTATTCGATGTAATACTCTTTTGCTGTGTGTTTGCCAAGATTCGAGGAATTGTGGATTTATGAACAAGATTATCTATGAATACTATTTGGTTCTTCTCTAAATTCTTATATGCATGATTTGATATCTTTGCAAGTCTCTTCGGATTATCGATTTAGTTTGGCCTACTAGATTGATCTTTCTTGCCATGGGAGAAATGCTTAGCTTTGGGTTCAATCTTGCGGTGTCCTTTCCCAGTGATAGTAGGGGCAGCAATGCACGTATCGTATTGTTACCATCGAGGATAAAAAGATGGGGTTTATATCATATTGCTTGAGTTTATCCCTCTACATCATGTCATCTTGCTTAATGTGTTACTCTGTTCTTATGAACTTAATACTCTAGATGCATGCTCGATAGCGGTCGACGTGTGGAGTAGTAGTAGATGCAGAATCATTTCGGTCTACTTGACACGGACGTGATGCCTATGTTCATGATCATTTCCTTAGATGTCTTCATAATTATGCGCTTTTCTATCAATTGCTCGGCAGTAATTTGATCACCCATTGTAATACATGCTATCTCGAGAGAAGCCACTAGTGAAACCTATGGCCCCCGGGTCTCTTTTCCATTATATTGCGTCTCTTTTCCATATCGTTGAATCTTGTTTACTATTTTGCAATCTTTACTTTCCAAACTATACAACAAAAATACCAAAAATATTTACTTTATTATCTCTATTAGATCTCACTTTTGTGAGTGTCTGTGAAGGGATTGACAACCCCTTTATCGCGTTGGTTGCAAGGTTCTTTATTGCTTGTGCAGGTATTCGGTGACTTGTGCGTCGTCTCCAACTGGATTGATACCTTGGTTCTCAAAACTGAGGGAAATACTTACACTACTTTGTTGCATCACCCTTTCCTCTTCAAGGGAAAAACCAACGCAAGCTCAAGAGGTAGAAAGAAGGATTTCTGATGCCGTTGCCAGGGAGATCTACGCCAAGTCAAGCCATACCAAATACCCATCACAAACTCTTCTCCCTTGCTACATTATTTGCCATTCGCCTCTCGTTTTCCTCTCCCCCACTTCTAAAATGATTTTCAAAAACCTTCGCCTTTTCTTTTCCCCTCTTCCATTTGTCTCTTTTCGCTTGCTTCTTGTGTGCTTGTGTGTTGGTGTGTCTATTTGCTTTGATGGCTTTGCCAAAAATTGTTGATCCTCACCTTAGGAGGTTGGAAGAAATTGAAAACAACATTAGAAGCTTTATGTCTTTGCAATTTGAGCATAATAATTTCTTTAGAAACGAGCTTAAAGAACAAAAAGGTTTTATGGAGTACATGAATAAAGAGCTCCATGATATGTCTAAGGAATTTTATGGTTTGAGATCTTAGTTTGCTCATCTTGAAAATTTAGTAGGCCAAATTTCGGATAAACAAGCCACCTTAGTTAATAAGATGGCCGCTAAACCGGAGGCTCTACATAATAATGATGAAGATCTAAAAGTGATTTATGTGACTCCTATTAAATCTTTGTTTTCCAATATGAATCTTGATAAAGTTGGGACTGGAGATGGGTCAACTTTAGTTAAAAGGCGTCCCAGTGATTCAGAGTTTTTAGATCTAGATGCAAAAAATGATAAAAGTGGGATTGAAGAGGCCAAAACTTTAAATAGCAATGAACCCACTATTTTGGATTTCAAGGGATTTAATTATGGTAATTTCTCTTTAATAAATTGTATTTCCTTGTTTCAATCCGTGTTAAATTCTCCTCATGCTTATAATCAAAATAAAGCTTTTACTAAACATATCGTTGATGCTTTGATGCAATCTTACGAAGAAAAGCTTGAACTAGAAGTT